TAGCAAAAAAAAGAAAGAAAGAAAGATAAAAAACAGAGTAGCAAAAAGAAAGAAAGAAAGAAAGAAAGATAAAAACAGAGTAGCAAAAATAAAAGAAAAGAAAAAAAAAAAGAAAAATAAAAAACAAAGTAGCAAAAAGAAAGAAAGAAAGATAAAACAGAGTAGTAAAAAGAAAAAGAAAGAAAGATAAAAACAGAGTAAAAAAAAAAAAGAAAGAAAAGAAAGAAAGATAAAAAACAGAGTAGCAAAAAAAGAAAAGAAAGAAAGAAAAAGAAAGAAAAAAATAAAACTGAGTAGCAAAAAAAAAGAAAGAAAGAAAGAAAGAAAGATAAAACAGAAAGTAGCAAAAAAAAGAAAAAAAAGAAAGAAAACAAAGTAAAAAAAAGAAAGAAAGAAAAAAAAAGAAAGATAAAAACAGAGTAGCAAAAAAGAAAGAAAGAAAGAAAGAAAGATAAAAACAGCGTAGCAAAAAAAAGAAAGAAAGTGTTGTGTATGATACACCTAATTTAAATAAAGAAAGAAAGTACCGACCATATAAATATGGGTTGGTACCGGACGACGACGGAAGATTAAGAGATCGAATCCAGAGACTCTGCCCGACTGCGACTTAGTCAACCCATTCTGCAGGAACAGTGTTCCCAAAGAATATAAAACAGAGTAAAAAAGAAAGAAAATATTGTGTAAAAACTTTTTCATTGTTTCAATACATTTTGTTACGTACATTTTAAGATAAAAACATTATTATTATTCCATGCTTATTCAAACAGAAAAACAGAAAGAAAGAAAGAAAGAAAAGATAAAAACAAAGTAGAAAAAAAAAAAGAGTAGAAAAAAAGAAGGAAAGATAAAACAGAGTAGCAAAAAAAAGAAAGATAAAAACAGAGTAGCAAAAGAAAGAAAAAAAAAGAAAGAAAGATAAAAACAGAGTAGCAAAAAGAAAGAAAGAAAGAAAGATAAAAACAGAGTAGCAAAAAGAAAGAAAGAAAGATAAAAAAAAAGTAGCAAAAAAAGAAAGAAAGAAAGAAAGAAAGATAAAACAGAGAAAGCAAAAAAAAACAAAGAAAGAAAAAAGAAGAAAGAAAGAAAGATAAAAACAGAGTAGCAAAAAAAGAAAGAAAGATAAAAACAGAGTAGCAAAAAAGAAAGAAAGAAAAAGAAAGAAAAATAAAAACAAAGTAAGAAAAAAGAAAAAAAGAAAGAAAGAAAGAAAGATAAAACAGAGTAGCAAAAAAAAAGAAAGAAAAAAAGATAAAAAACAGAGAAGCAAAAAGAAAGAAAGAAAGAAAGAAAAAACAGATAAAAAGAAAGAAAGAAAAAAAGAAAAAAAAGAAAGAAAGAAAGAAAGATAAAAACAGAGTAGCAAAAAAAGAAAGAAAGAAAGATAAAAAAAGAGTAGCAAAAAAGAAAGAAAAAAAGAAAAAGAAAGATAAAAAACAGAGTAGCAAAAAGAAAGAAAGAAAGATAAAAACAGAGTAGCAAAAAGAAAAAAAAAAAGAAAGATAAAAACAGAGTAGCAAAAAAAGAAAAAACAGAAAGAAAGAAAGAAAAAAGATAAAAAAACAGAGTAGCAAAAAGAAAAAGAAAAGAAAGATAAAAAACAGAGTAGCAAAAAGAAAGAAAAGAAAAAAGAAAGAAAGAAAAAAGATAAAACAGAGTAGCAAAAAGAAAGAAAGAAAGATAAAAACAGAAAGTAGCAAAAAAGAAAGAAAGAAAGATAAAAAAACAGAGTAGCAAAAAAAGAAAGAAAGAAAGAAAGAAAGATAAAACAGAGTAGCAAAAAAGAAAGAAAGAAAAGATAAAAACAGAGTAGCAAAAAGAAAGAAAGAAAGAAAGATAAAAACAGAGTAGCAAAAAAGAAAGAAAAGAAAGAAAGAAAAAAAAAGATAAAAACAAGTAGCAAAAGAAAGAAAAGAAAGAAAGAAAGATAAAAAAAGAGAGTAGCAAAAAAGAAAAAAAAAAAAAAAAAAGAAAGAAAAAAAAGAAAGAAAAAATGACAAAAAGAAAGAGAAAAGAAAAAAAAACATGAAAAAGAAAGAAAGAAAAAAAAAGTAGCAAAAAAAAGAAAGAAAGAAAGAAAGAAAAAAGATAAAAAAAAGAGTAGCAAAAAGAAAAGAAAGAAAGAAAAACAGATAAAAAAGAGAGTAGCAAAAAGAAAAAAGAAAAAAGAAAGAAAGATAAAAACAGAGTAGCAAAAGAAAGAAAGAAAGAAAAAAAGATAAAAACAGAGAAGCAAAAAAAGAAAAAAGAATGAAAAAAAAGAAAGAATGAGAAAAAGAAAGAATGAGAAAAAGAAAGAAGGAAAGATAAAAACAGAGAATAGCATAAATAAAGAGAATGAGAAAAAGAAAGGAAATAATAGGAAACAAAACTGGAAAATCATTAATCAATAAAATAATGGAAAAACAAGAGAGAGAAAGAGAGAGGGGAAGAGAAAATGAAGGAGAATGCAAGAAAATAGTGAGGCGAGAGAGAGGGAAAGAGAGAGAAAGGAAGAAAAACGAGAAGAGAGAGAGAGAGAGAGAAGAATGAAAGAAAAGAGAGAGGCGAGAAAGAGAAGAAAAAGACAAACGAAAAACCTAAAAAGAAAAATCCTTTAAAATGAATGCAAAGGAAATCGAATATTAAAAACAAAAAGAATCTCTTCCCGCCGGACAATACACGTAATTTTTGGAAATGGCGTGACTTGAAATTGCTAAAACAAGGCGTCCAATTTACTTATTTGTATACACATATATCAAAATAGACATTTCTCGAATTAAGTTAATAGCGACTGAGATATTTGTCTATTTCTCTCACATTCGTGACCCCACCCCCCAAAAATATCTAAGCCAGGTAGCCATGCCCTCACCACTTGGTAGACTTAAAAGAAACTTCCTATCTGACCTCACTTGACTTTTTTTTTATTGTACTACGCTAAGTTTAGTAAATATAGAAACAGTTTTTAAACATAGCGCGACGGTTAACAAAGTATTTGTACAAAATTTCTTGTGATGTGTTCAATGCTTTGTTAGTTCTTCACTACAATAGTCTTACTCCAAAATGAATTTACCTACTATTGAAGATGGTTTGCTATGACGCAATATTTATCAACTTAAATCACGCAAATACTTGCTACGGTAGCATTCAAGTTTCGCTGGCACTGAATTTATGGCACTGAACCAGACTAAACGAACCTAATCATATATATGTCGTCCGTCGATAGAAATCGCTTCGTTATTCGATAGATTGTAGCAAAAGAAATAACAGAGACTGTGGTAAGTTTCTACTGATATTCTTTTTTTTTTGCTTTTTATTAGTCGTTAATCATATGCGAGATTAAAGGATATTTGGTAGCGGTCTCTGGGACTCAACTGACAACAAGTGTCTTCAGATCTATACCGCTTCCTGACATCAGTAATGTTTAGCGATTGGCGATCCCAATTCCAGTTCTTTCAGTTTGGTCGCTAAGATCTTTAAGATAGTTCCTATTTCATCAGTTATAGACATTGTTCTTTTGTTTCCCGCTACATAGCGTCTTGGATTCTCAAGCAAGGTCTTAGTGTTATTTCTTTTCCATTTTACCTCTTCAGTGGACTGCAAGAAAAAAAGCCATCCACAATATCTTTTTCATTATCAAGTTTTGTGTTTGTTTTTTGTTGTTTGTTTTCATCAGCCTGGTTCATACTTGTTATAATGATCATATAAACTTCGTAGTTTATGGTTAATAATATTGTAAGAAAACACTGGAACAAAAGATTAGTGAAGGCAAGGTTTAATCCCATGAAGGACATAGATTAATAATACCTTAATAGCCAATCCCCTAGTTAAGTGCGGCAGTGCGTCCGACTCAACGCTACACCTTGCGACCAACTTTGCGATCACTGTTCCTATGAGCAGATGTTCTACTCATAGCGAATGGATCAGTCTATGTTCAACAATTAGTGTACAAAAGGTCAGTCGTCTTTCTACACAAGAATAACCGTTGCTTGCATCATTTAATTTATTTGAATTTTATCATTACTATTATGATACAATATTTGTGTTCACATCAGATAATTGGTGGGTATTACTGGGAATTAAGTAACAAAAACTCCCAAATGTTCTGCATCCTAACAGACTTTAGTAACGCCTTGGCTTGGACATTTCTTCAACAATTAATTTCCGTCCCTTCGATTCTAGTGATTATGCCACGGTTCCTAGTGCTTCTTTTACTATTGGAACAACCATAAATGTCATGTTCTACAGTATTCTTAGTTTTAGGACATGGTCCTAATATTCTTCAATTTTGTAATATTCAGATGATATTCATTTTTACATCAGGTAATAGACACTACCTGGAGAGGGATGGACTCCGCCAGGTTAAAACTCCGAAAACACGCCACATGATGAGCACACGAAGAAACCATTCGCGGAGACACAAATTCTGACACAAGGCCGCAACAGATGAGGGAGAATGGTGGAAAGCTCAGAACTCCGGCAGTCCAACGTTCCTCCCGAATTTAAGGGAAGAAGAAGAAGAAGAAGAAGAAGAAGAAGAAGAAGAAGAAGAAGAAGAAGAAGAAGAAGAAGTTTCAGACCCTTCAGACGCCCAGGATCTTCTTCGGGATTTTTGCCGAGTTAAATTTTGTCGAAGTGCAGATAATCTTAACCCTTCAAATTATCACGATTTTTGTTGCCTGTCTTCAAAACATTTTTAAAGTAATAATCATCCGCCTTCCTTTGTACTGTGTCTTTTTATTTATGGTGTTGTAAAATATTCCTATATTTAATTGGGATTAATCTGTTGCTATTTTTATTAATAATGTAAGATTTAACTTTTTTTAATATTGACTGTTCAAAATAAAATGCAAACATTTCTTAAAATTGGAAACAACTAGTTGATCAACCCTGATCAATATTAATCAAGTTGAACCAAAACATTCAGGACTGACAAAACAAAATCCTTGATACAAGGCGCTTGACAACATGACGCCATTTTTCTTTTGGTTTTCTTTAGCTATTAGTATCTTGGTTCCATTGAAAGAAACGCTCGTACCAAATGTGATACGTCAAAAGCCAATCAATAAACGGACCAATAAGCCAGAGGATTCGATTGACATTTCACCTGAGGTCGAGTCTTTTCTTAATCACTTTTCGTCTGCATCAATGGTGACCTTATAGAGAAATATTCGTTGATTTGGACTTTTTCGAATTGTCATTATATTTCGCGTGTCGAAATTTTGTTGTTGGAATAAAGATAGATCATGGGGAAAAAGCTCCAAACCTGTTTAATATTGTGCGTGTGTGTGTCGTGCATGAATACGCTAATGTCTTTACGCGTGTATACATGTATGTGGGCAATACACATTTCTCTCGTATTTTCGACTTTGAACGGTTGATATTCAAAGAGTTCTGGTTTGCTGGAATAAGTGTATTTCACACATGGTGATATCGTGTTAGAGTTTAAACATGAGACCGTTAACGTTCTTTTAAAAGAAATCACGAACGAGTCTTCGACAAAAATCAAGTTCCTGTTGAAGAAAAAAATGGTTCGCGACACTAGATCGGTGCAAAAAGATACAATCGTGAATTTTCAAAGACTGTTTTCGCAATGCAGATATAACAGTTTCTGTCTAGTGATCGATGTAGGATTTAATTTTCTTTAAATATCTAAGCCATTAAATAACGTGACCATAATATTTCTTGTAGGTTTTCTTATCCAATTGATCCTTTCAAAACTGAAACAATTATCAGCGTCAATATGCCGCGTCCCTTCAAAACGTTGAAAATTACAGACTCTCAGCAGTTCCTTGTCTTTTGTACCTATTAGAAAATGTTGACTTTTCAATATCTCTCCTAATACCTGATCGGCAGGGATAAGGATAATCTTTCTTCTTTTTCTCTTGCCTTGAATATATCCTGTGAGTGTCAAATTTTCTAAGTCCTCTTTCCTCACTATATTCCCCAGTAATTTCAACTGTTTCTTACTGATGTTAAGTGTAAATGACATTTTTGCTTCCATTTTATCTAAAATTTCATCATTGCTTACATGTTCAATCCATGTATATTCTCAGCATCCTTCTGTAGAACAATATTTCTGTTGGTTTAAGTCTCTTTTCAATATGTGGAGATTTCCAGCATTCAGTACCATATATGAGGACCTATATCAAATAGCAGTTCAGTACTCTTTTATTTGTTACTAACGGGATTTTCCTGTTTGTTAATACTTTGATGAGCTTTTGGAAGGCATTTTTCGCTATCTTAAAGAGCCTTTGTATTTTAGTGACGCATCTCTAGTCCTCTGTTAATATCCATTGATGTTGAGTGAAACAGAAATATGACCTTGAGCTGAAATCATCTTTTATTTTGTTTTTTTTTTCTTTTTACTAATCTAGTCTGGTACACGGACGAATTGCTGTTCCTGAGAGTTATGGGATAATGGAGAGCCGGGTTCGATTTCTACTCGAGTTGGTTACATTCACTTAAGCGCAAATATCGTTGAGAAAGGTATGAATCCATCTCTTCTCTTCTCCAGTAATTGATTCGTTAGTAAGATTTCTATCTTGAAAAATCATTTTTATCTCCCAAACACTGTTAATGCAAAATTAAAAAAGAAAAGAAAGAAATACTGCTTATAATTCAAAAAATAGATTTCTGCTTTCAATAACCTACAAAGGGTGGATAAACCGTAAAAAACAATCTATCAAATATGAGTGTTATGATATAGAAAAGAAATAAAGTAATGGTCAATCTAAATATGCAATAGGCTCACCATTGTTTAAAGTTTACGGCCATATCATGTTGAAACATTGGTTCTCGTATGTTCAACGATTGAGCAACGTCGAGCATGGTCAGTACCTAGATGGGTAACCGATTGAAAATAACAAGTGCTGTAAGCATTGGATGTGCGGCTGATATCAAGGATAACGACTAAGGATCGGAAAATCGAGTTTCAATTGAGTTCGTTAAATTTATTTACGCGCACAAGAACGTGGGAAAGTTATGAACTTTCATGAAACTCCAGTATATATTAAAAAAGATAAGTGATCTGTTTTATTATATATATATATATATATATATATATATATATATATATATATATATATATATATATAAAAAAGAAAGAACATATAAAATCAATTGTTCTTAAAAACACCTATAGTAAAATAAGATTAATATGAAATGCCATAAGATGTAAGCTTTTGAATGACTCATGTCCTTTGTACTTACATGAGAAACATTATATTACTAGGTTTATATATAAAGTAAAAAGTTTACTAAATCAGTGAAATTAAGTTACCATTTTTCGCCATCATAGTCATCATAAATTTAATAAAAAAAAAAAAAGATGTAACTATATATACTTAAACTTGAATTAATACATAAAGTTTACTAAATCTGAGAAATGACTTAGATAGTTTTTTAGTCTGTGCCATTAATATTACTTAAATAATATCTAAATATAAAAAGTTTAAAATTGTAATTTACATATACTTTGATATGGAAAAAAATAATTTTGCTTACTATGAGTAATTATCCTTCTGTTATAAAATAATATAATCTATTAAAACTAACAATGAAAATATTTTAAAATTTTAAAGTTGTAATTTTAAAATTGTAATTAAAATTGTAGTTAAATAAAATGAATTTTAACCTGTTCTTTGTACATACATATGAAACTTTTATTACTTAGGTTACATATATTTGAAATAAATAAATTAATTAATTAATTAATAAAGTTTACTAAATCTGAAAATGACTTAGCTAGTTTTGTAAAGTGCCATTAATATTACTTAAATAATATTTAAATTTAAAAGTTTAAAAAAAAATTGTAATTTACATATACTTTGATATGGAAAAATAATTTTACTTACTATGAGTAATTTTCCTTCTGTTATAAAGTAATATAGTCTATTAAAACTAAACAATGAAAATATTTTAAAATTTTAAAGTTGTAATTTTGAAATTGTAATTAAAATTGTAGTTAAATTGAATGAATTATAACCTAAATTTCTTTTAAATAATACTACACGCACTAAAAAATAATCCAAAAAAAAAAACACCTATAGTAAAATGAAATTAATATGAAATGCCATAAGATGTAAGCTTTTTGAATGACCCATGTCCTTAGTACTTACATGAGAAACATTATATTACTAGGTTTATATATAAAATAAAAGTTTACTAAATCAGTGAAATTAAGTAACCATTTTGCCGTCATAGTCATAAATTTAAAAAGAAAAGAAAAAAAAACCCGAAAATCTTTTTTTTTTTAAAAAATGACGTTGAAATTTTTTTACCGTTAACAATTTTTTTTTTTTTAAATCCAGACGACATCCATTCAACTGATGTCATTTTCATTGTAAAAATACATCCCTACCCTTACCAAATTGGCTAATAACTGATACAATGATACTGACATAAGGAAAATCTAGACATCCCTTGTTCAATTTAAGTAGAATATTCTGTAACCATGGAAACGTGATTTTAGCTGTGTCTTTAAAACCCGGTAATTTTAAAAGTTACTCCAAAATTCGCTTGAAGATGAAATGGAACTAATGCTTTTAATTTAATTGCAAAATTAAATTCAGGGTTTTAACTTCTATTTTTGAAACATGGTTGGAACTGTGTGAAAAAAACCCATATTTTAAATCAATTAATTTATAATATATATATATATATATATATATATATAGACAGTTCACTTATATATATGTATATATAATCAAATAAATAAATATAAATGCAAATGTTCACACACGCACATAAATATAAATATATATATATATATATATATATATATATATATATATATATATATATATATATATCCTTAAATGCAAAATAACAGAGCAATTAAGTAATCAGCTATCAGTACCTTACAATTGCGTGGTGCATGAAATTTCGAGTTGTACTGTATTTATTATTTATTAATCTATATGTGTGTGTGTGTGTGTGTAGGGAGATAATATCAACATTTTCAGGAAAATCTATAACGAAGTGGAAATTTTTTTTTTTTTTTCGTGTGAATCATTTCATGCTTTTCAGGATTTCGTCAAACTAAAGAGATGTTTATGTTGATGTGATTTACTCACGCGCATCAAGGAGACGAGGCAGTGGAATTTGAAATTTAAATTTATTTATTCTTTTTAATTATGTCTTTAGGGATATAATCTCGCCGTATTTAGTTTCTTTTTTCTTTTCTTTTTTTATTTCATGACACCGCCACATTTTTTCACTTTGTCATAGGTCCTCCTAACACACACACACACACTCATACACACGTGTGTGTGTGTTTATTATGTTTTAATTACCGAATTATATGAATCGATATGAATTATAAAAATTATGTTTTAATTACCAAAATTATATGAATCGCGTTACTAAGGAAATGTGACTCATGTTATTTAGGAGTTAATCGCTTGAATCTCTTGGTGGCGGGGGGAGGCTAAATTTCTGTTGGATTTTTGTTTTCATAATCTGCTTTTCCTTTGATATGTCTGCCCGTTTTGATATTCTTCTGTTGTTGATGCGAATAAAAGTCTTAAATTCTAACTATTTCCCAGTAATAACATTTTGGTTACGTACATGGTGTTTTGTATTTTATCCTCAAATTTATATTGCCACTATGAAAATGACTGAAAAGATAAAGTTGAAATATACTTTAAAAAAAAAAAAAAAAAAAAATGTCGTAAATAAAGACTGCTATTTGTAACTTGTTAAAACATTTCAACACTAAAGTTTCAGTTAACCTTGACCATCATTGACTCCGAACGAATTTTTTTTTTTAAAGTAGGGGTTATTCTTATTTATTATAACGAACCTATTTCCCTTTCAAATAAGCATTACATATTTTTTTCATTTATTGTAGATCCAATGTAAATGAAATGTTTGTTTTCGTGTCGGACAGGAGAATCCATTTGCAAATTCAAATGAGGTCCGGAGTTTCTTTCCGATTGCATGGCAGAAATGTTCCGCCTCTTACCATTTGTCTTTTTGCTTTCCTGTTCTCAAAGAAGAAGAAAGAGAATCCAATAAACATTCTTTCGATGAAAGTTTTTTTTAATTATTTCCTTTTGAAATGTAAACGCAATGACCTTGTTTTTGCCGTAATATTATTTTCTCTTCTTGTTAATAATTCACATCTTTTATTCAATGTTCGATAAGATTCATAATACTGTAAGTGAAACAGGAAGTGCATCAAATATCCACTCATCGTGAGATCATTATGACAGGAAAACGCAAAATGAACAATTATGGCGTGACAAAAGAAACTACTTTAGTTATTTAAAGAAACTGCTGGACAAAATTCGGATTATTAACTCACCTGATAACCTCATAAATTCAGAATAAAGGATTTAGCACAACTGGGCAAAATTTCAGGTAAAATATTATTAAAATATTAAGCAAACAAATATTTTTAAAAATGCCGTTTGGGATTATTAAATAATTTAAAAAATTTTTCCGAATTCCTTATAAATAGGCTTACGGCCATATCACGTTAAAACATTGGTTCCCGTACGATACCGAAGTTAAGCAACGTCGAGTCTGGTCATTGCTTAACATGGTCGCCACTCGGGAATACCAAGTGCTGGAAACTTGGATGTGCGGGTCGTGTATTATATAATTAGTATTGTTAATTAGAGAGCCGAGTTTCAATTCTTCTTGTGTTAGTTATATTCACTTACGTGCAAATAAACTTGAAACCACGTCTTCTTCCCCAGCTACGGATTAAATATTTAAACTCGTAGCACTAAAACATTATTATTTCCAAAAAATATTCTTACAATCTAAAATAATTTTCTGGTTATAAATAACCAGCAAAGAGTTAATCAACCGTAGAAAAGGAACGAATCCATCAATCCTTGTAAATATTTCTATTTTTTTTTTTTTTTTTTTTTTTTGTTGCTTATCCTGGGAGTGTCAATGAATATTCATAGGTACATTGATTGATTCATTCATTTTCTACGATTTATCACCCCCTTTACAAGTTATTTAAAATCGGATTTTTAAAAATATTTTTCGAAATAATAATGATGTAATGTTTAGTAATTAATCCATAACTGGCGGAGTAGAAAAGGTGGATTCATAACTTTTCCAAGGATATTTAAGCATAAGTGAATAAAATAAACCAAAGAGGAACTGGAAATCGTCTCTGAGATTAACATTAATTCCATTATTACGCTATCCACACATGCAGGATTACAATATTACTGAATATCCCGCAACGATCTCTCATCGAGGTACTGACCAGCTTTCACTTTGCTTAACTTCGATGAGCGTTTGGTGTTTCAACATTATATTGTCGTAGCCATTATTTATAAGAAATTCAGGAAAATAATTTGAATTCATTTAAAAATCGCAAAAACATTTTTTTTAATGTCTTTTTGATTAATATTTTAGTTGTGTTAATTTAATTAATTCGGAATTTATGAGTTTATCACGTGCGCTATTAAAGACACACACACACACACACACACACACACATATATATATATATATATATATATATATATATATATATATATATATATATATATATATATATATATGATACGAATAAAAAAAAAAAGTAAAAAAAAAAAAAAAGACTCGGATAGCACAAATTGTAAGTCTATCAAAACAAATTGGTCCCCGAGATAAAAAAAAGAAAAAAAATGGAATAAAAAAAGAAAGAACTAGAAACATCCGAACAGGGCGAAATAAATCGTCCAGTGACTTAAGTTTCTAGTCCAAAGAAAAAAAAACCAAGCAAGTAATAAAGTTAATAGTGCTCAATATGCTGAGTAGAGCTGGGATAAATGAAATACACAGAAATAAACCTTATAATAGTAATAAGAACGTTAAATTTTACATAGGATCCACCCAAGGTAATTTCAAAAAGCGTTACTACAATCATTTAAGTAGCCTCCAAACACAGCATTTGCCTGTCTACATACATATGGAATATTGAATGGTAAGATAGTATTGACCTCATTTTAAAATGGGAAATACTAAAAAAAAAAAAGCCATAAGGATAAAGCAGTGAACAAGTATTGCTTATTATGTATGGAGGAAAAATTAGCAATGGCCACCTCCGATGAACCTAATAATTTATTATGTGACGTCGTCCCCCGGTCGCAGCGTCGACTGTGTCGTTCGATCCCGGTCGCGGCGCCAATTGTGACGTCACGTGCTCCCCAGGCTCTGATATCCTGGTCACGGACAGCACCAACTGTGACGTCTTTGCCGCGGCGTCAGCTGTTCGCTCCTCGCTGCTCCAAACGTGACGTTCTAACCCTTTGGTTAGATTGATACCAGCCTCGCCGTTCCCAAACCGCTTCCAACGCCTGGTTACCAGGGTAACTGCACTGATCTCCAGTCTGCCTACCCACGTTGTGAATTGATCTTAGACAGACGAGATCAAACAGGGTTGAGTCTAACGAGGGTGATAACACACAATTATATATAAAAGAAAATAAAATAAAAACTCACAAGGTCCAACGTATCAAAGAAAAAAGGTAACAAACTTTTTTATGTCTAACTGCTCGGTACATAGGACTATGTCTACTTCCCGACCCGTTCTGTGGATTGTGGTACGACGCTTTTACTAGGCAACTTTAAGGCTTCCAGTTGTCTGCTCTCTAAGAAATTTGTGTTTCGGTGTGTCTTTGGACGAAAGTCGAAAAAAAAACTTATTTCTGTGGTCTGATTCTAAGTCGCTCTTCAAACTACTTGTTCTTGGTTGAAGAAGAGTCCAGAAGTGTACGTGAATTTTGGTCAGCTATCTTGACGCGGTTTCAACACTGGGCGCTCATCTCTGCTTGTCGTCCACGGCTGAACTCTTTCGCCGTCCGCGGCTCAACTCAAACTTCTTCTCTTCAGAGTCTGAATTACTGGTCACTCATCTCCGCCGTCGGTGCGCGAATTAACTTCTTCTCTTCAGCTTCTGAATTACTGGTCACTCATCTCCGCCGTCTGTGCGCGAACTAACTTCTTCTCTTCAGCTTCTGAATTACTGGTCACTCATCTCCGCCGTCTGTGCGCGAACTAACTTCTTCTCTTCGGCTTGGGTCGAACGAACTTCTTCACTTCGGCTTGGGTCGGACGAACTTCTTCACTTAGGCCAAACGAACTGGCCTCTCTTGCCCGCAAAGGGGCGAACGAACCTGGCCCGCCATCCGCGCCTCATACTCAAAACTGATTTCTGTCGGTTGGGGTTTCGCTTTTATTGACGCAGTCAAAACTGGGGTGGGTCTGTCGGCGCCAGGGGTTTCTTCGATAATTCTAAATACGTATCCACCCTTCTTATCTGTGGTTAGGGATTTTCTATTTTCTCTCACTCCCACTTCCTTACTGTGCCTCTGAGGGCGTATACCCGCTTCCCCGCTTCTTCGTATCCTTACACTTACACTTCTGACAGGGGCGTCGACCGATTCTCTTCGTGCGTCACGTGACCGCTCTCGGCCAATGAGGTCCTGGTCGGGTATCTTTCCTCCTCCTTCGTGTGTCATGTGATCTTATTTAGCCAATGACGTCTTTAGTCGGGCGTGGACAATCCGTGGCTTTGTTTTGGAAAGAAACACCTTGCTTAAAAAACAAAAATATTAATTTAAATCGCCCTTATCATGAGCGACTGCGATGACACCTTCGGCTGTTTAACACGTGGTATTTGTCAAGCAGTTTATCGCTAATTGGATATGATCTAAGAAAGGGATTTCTCAGACCTGTTGGCGTTTTTGAACGAAATAAAAATATTTCATTTTCCTCCGCCCGAAGGTCCGATAATAAAAATCTTTATTATCTCAAAAAAAAAAAAAAATTTTCAGCGACATCATCTTGTGTGGCTTTTCCCAATTTTGGAGACTGTCTGGGTTTTCGTATTAATGGTTTGCCTTCATATCCTTAGATACACTTCCCCACCTTTACTATCATTCCAATGACACACTTTCCACTTGTTACTTATCAATATTTTCATTGTCCCTAAACTTCGTTTCTTCTTTTCCTCTTGGGTGACAACCAATTGATAACAACTTCCATTTTTCGTGGATTCCGCGGAAATCGGCTAGATGCTTGACCCGGATATTTTTCGACACCTGTTATCTGTCAGCCGTTCTTGTGTGTGCTCGCCTATGACCTGTTTTCGCATTATTTTTTCTTTCTTTCTTCTTTGTTTTCTCTTTCCTTCTTCCAGATCGCTTGAATGTAAAGAAAGAATTATTCTTAAAACCCAAAATATTTTTCGGCCCTAAATAATTATTAAATGGTTGATAAACCGTAAAAAACAAGTCATATATCTATGAATATTTCTTTCAAATCGTCAGGATGCATGGTGCCACAATTAAATCAAAAATCTGAGATTTGAAATTAGGGGAGGCATAAGAAATCCTGGTTATTGGAATAGAGGTTATGTTGTTTTTTTTTCCTGTCTTGTGGTTTTATGCTAATTAAGTTTTAGTGGTTTTATCAATAAAAATTGATTCATGTCATTTCCTCTTTAGCTAGACTACCCTGAAGATCCGTTTAGGTGAAACCAGTATTGCTGCCATATATGGTCTGGTGCCCCTTCTGTTTGCCTCGGGGTTCTTGATAGGCTCCAAAGGCGGATATGCAATGTAGTTGGCCCTACTCTGGCATCTCGTTTACATTCAGTTTCTCACAGACGCGCGGTTGCCTCTCTCTGTCTGTTCTACAAATATTTTCATGGAAATTGCTCCGAGGAGCTGCATTCGCTGGTTCCCAGATGTCATAAGTTCCAGCGCCTTACGAGGTTGGCATCCCGCTCTCACCCCTTCACTGTCGAAACTCCTAAATGTAGCCGTCTCTTCTACTCTAATAGCTTCATGTCTCGTACCTCTCGCCTGTGGAACTCCCTTTCCTTTTCCTGTTTCCCTGTGAGCTATAATCTCCAGCTATTCAATTGTAATGTCAATCGACATCTCCAGTTGCCTTGATCTATCCACTACCCTCATCCTTTCTTCTATCACTCCTATCTGATCTTGCTCTAAATTTTCTGTAACCCCTTACGTCCTAGTGGCTTCCCGCCTTGCTTGGGGTGAAATG